CTTTGATTGTAGGTAAACTATAAATCCCAGCAACTACAACTCCTAAATGACAAATGAAGGACATACATTGGGTTGTTAGGTGTTTTATGTTCAAATTTGGTGTCAATTCGCCAGTAGTTTTTAGTTCTGTTGATCCCACAAACGAACCTTACATTTTTATTTATATAGATAAACCCTTTATATAACAATGAAACCAGAAAATTAGAAACATTGGAGGTAAATTTCAGGCAAAAATTGGTATGATAAGAAACAAAGATGGCAGGGACCTAACAGAAGCTGAAGAGATCAAGAGAAGGTGGCGAGACTATACAGAAGATCTGTATAGGAAGGATAATAATATTGAGGATAGTTTGACGGTGTGGTGAATGAATTAGAACCAGACATCATGAGGAGTGAGGTTGAATGGGCCTTAAGAAGCATTGCTAACAACAAGGCAGCAGGAGACGACGGGATCCCAGCTGAACTGTTTAAAATCTTAAAAGATGATGCTGTCAAGGTGATGCATGCCATTTGCCAGCAAATATGGACAACACAAGAATGGCCATCAGACTGGAAAAAATCAACTTATATCCCCATACCAAAAAAGGGAAATGCGAAAGACTGCTCAAACTTCCGTACAGTGGCCCTTATTTCTCATGCCAGTAAGGTAATGCTCAAGACCCTGCAAGGAAGACTCCAGCAATACATGGAGCGAGAGTTGCCAGATGTTCAAGCTGGGTTTAGAAAAGGTAGAGGAACGAGAGACCAAATTGCCAATATCCGCTGGATAATGGAGAAAGGCAGGGAGTTTCAGAAAAACATCTACTTCTGCTTCATTGACTATTCTAAAGCCTTTGACTGTGTGGATCATAATAAATTGTGGCAAGTTTTTGGTGGGATGGGCATACCAAGCCACCTTCCCTCTCTCCTGAGGAATCTGTACAAGGACCAAGTAGCAACAGTCAGAACTGACCACGGAACAACAGACTGGTTCAAGATTGGGAAAGGCGTACGGCAAGGCTGCATCCTCTCACCCAACCTTTTTAACTTGTATGCAGAACACATCATGCGATGTGCGGGGCTGGATGAATGCAAGGCTGGGGTGAAAATTGCTGGAAGAAACATTAACAACCTCAGATATGCAGATGACACCACTCTGATGACCGAAAGCGAGGAGGAGCTGAGGAGCCTTCTAATCAAGGTGAAAGAAGAAAGCGCAAAAGCCGGGTTGCAGCTAAACGTCAAAAAAACCAAGATTATGGCAACAAGAATGATTGACAACTGGGAAATAGAGGGAGGAAAACGTGGAGGCCGTGACAGACTTTGTATTTCTAGGTGCAAAGATTACTGCAGATGCAGACTGTGGCCAGGAAATCAGGAGACGCTTACTTCTTGGGAGGAGAGCAATGTCCAGTCTCGATAAAATAGTAAAGAGTAGAGACATCACACTGGCAACAAAGATCCGCCTTGTCAAAGCCATGGTATTCCCTGTAGTAACCTACGGATGTGAGAGCTGGACCTTAGGGAAGGCTGAGCGAAGGAAGATCGATGCTTTTGAGCTGTGGTGTTGGAGGAAAGTTCTGAGAGTGCCTTGGACTGCAGAAGATCCAACCAGTCCATAGGAAATAAAGCCCGACTACTCATTGGAGGGAAGATATTAGAGACAAAGTTGAAGTATTTTGGCCACATCATGAGAAGACAGGAAAGCTTAGAGAAGACAATTATGCTGTGGGAAATGGAAGGAAAAAGGAAGAGGGGCCGACCAAGGGCAAGATGGATGGATGGCATCCTTGAAGTGACTGGACTGACCTTGAAGGAGCTGGGGGTGGTGATGGCAGACAGGGAGCTCTGGCGCGGGCTGGTCCATGAGGTCACGAAGAGTCGGAGACGACTGAACGAATGAACAACAACAACAATGAAACCAATGAAACCTTCCTGCATTTTGGACATTGGGTTAATATATCCTCGATCCTTGTCTCCAGGGATGAAGACACAAACATATATTCTAGATGCCACGAAGAAGAAAGAAAGCCTTTGCCTTCAGGTCCCGGGAGACTTAGTTCTCGGGGACCACAACTCCCGATCCATCAGAGGAAATGAACCACATGCATACATTCCTTTTCCTTATATTGTTATATAGAGATAGATAGCTGAATAAACATGGATGGTTGTCTCTTGGGATGAAGAGGGAAGGGGAGAGAGAAGGACCCTCCCCATTTTGGAAAACGGCATTCCTAACCTTTTGGAAAAACACCTTTTGGGGACCATTACTTTTTACAAAAACCTGACCTTTCAGAGAAGAGCCAAAAACCCTTTAGAGGAGAATCTTCTCTTCTGGTATACAACCAGATCTAATTATGCAAGGCAATGGTTTCAGTTGTTAGACTGAATAACCTGATATCTCTGATTTGCTAGGAAAACAGAGATTTGCCAGTGCATAAGAACAGCGGAGCTTCAGAAGTGTTCCTCAGTGCCCAAAAACATATAGACTCCCCCATAAAACAAACTGTTCTACATCATGCTCTCAAGAGACAAAATGAAGTAGACTTTGATAAAAAAAATAACATATTTGGTTTACTCACGGCCTTTGTGTGTTCAGCATACACGTACAAAACGTATCAGTCCAGTTTCAGATATGTTTGAGAGAATTCTCTGTGCCATCCGGCCAGGGCATCTCTCTTGTAACAAAACAGCTATCACCAGGTCACATAGTCAAAAGGAGAGAGGGAGGGGGAGAGAGAGAAAGAGAGAGAGAGAGCGTGTGGTCTGCAGCTCATTTTATAACTTCTCAGGAAGCATAGAGTAAAGGAAGCTGCATACCAGAACATACATACAGGAAACAGTAAGCAACAGGATCATAGATAAATAGCTTGAAGATCCTCCCATCTTGGAAACTCCCTCTTTGTCTTGATGATGGGAAGAGGGGTCTCACCTTTATCAGTCATCTCCCCCTCCCCTTTTTAATTCTTATTTTGATCTTAATACTGAATCGCACATGATATCCGGTGTCATAATCCATCCTCCCGCCCCTCTCTGCCATTCTCCCTTCCGCCTGCCTTTCCTTCCAGGCCACAGATCTCTCCTCTCTCTGGGCTCTCACGGGCAAACATGAGCCAAGCGTGTGATGCAGCAGCTGAAAAAGCCAATGGGATTCTGGGCTGCATCCAACGGAGTCTAGTGTTCGGATGGAGGGAAGCCATGGTGCCTCTCTGTCCTGCCTTGGTTAGACCTCCCCTGGAATGACCCTGTGTCCAATTCTGGAAGAAGCAAAGGCCACCCACCAGCACGTGTGTCCTCTCTGCCTAAGACCATGTGGATCCAGAACACTTCTCTACAATCCAACAGCAGCAATAAGGGTTGTGGGCATTGGCTCTCTTGGGTCCCATTCCCAACAGGGTCAAGAGCTGCCATTCCAAGTGAGCTGAAGCCCTTCAAGCCAGGGCAGGCGGGCAATCCCTGTTCCTTTCCACACACAGAGACAGGATATTGAGGATGCCATGAGGAAGAGGGGCTTTGCCTTCAGGCTTTGGGAGACGCCTCCTCTGGGACTCCAACTCCCAGCACCCCCAACCCTGGTGCCAGGCCTTTCTGCAGGGGCGGTGGGAGTTGAAGTCGAAAGGGGGCATTCCCTCCACTCTCTGCAGCGGGGATTCCCAGGCCCCAGCCCTCCCCCTTGCTCACTTCAACTCCCAGAATCCTCAGCTGCCTTGAGCCAAGGTCGGGGATTCTGGGTGATGGGGGGAGGAGGACTGAAGTAAGGAAGGGAGGGAGGGAGGAAGGAAAAAGGGAGGAAGGAAAAAAGGAAGGAAGGGAAAAGGGAAAAGGGAAGGAAGAAGGGAAAAAAGAGGAAGGATGGGAAAAGGAAAGAAGGAAAAAAGGGAGGAAGGAAGGAAAAAGGAAAAAAGGGAGGAAGGAAGGAAAAAGGAAAAAAGGGAGGAAGGAGGGGGGAAGGAAAAAAAGGAGAAAAGGGAGGGAGGAAGGGAAAAGGAAGGAAGGGAGGGAGGAAGGGAATGGAGGAAGGGAGGGAGGAAGGGAAAAGGGAGGAAGGGAGGGAGGAAAAAGGGAGGAAGGAAGGAAAAAGGAAAAAAGGGAGGAAGGAGGGGTAAAGGAAAAAAAGGAGGAAGGGGAGGGAGGAAGGGAAAAGGGAGGAAGGAGAAAGGGAGGAAGGAAAAAAGAGGAAGGATGGGAAAAGGAAAGAAGGAAAAAGGGAGGAAGGAAGGAAAAAGGAGGAAGGAGGGGGAGGAAAAAAGGAGAAAAGGGAGGGAGGAAGGGAAAAGGGAAAAAGGGAGGGAGGAAAAAGGAAAAAAGGGAGGAAGGAGGAGTAAAGGAAAAAAGGAGAAAAGGGAGGGAGGAAGGGAAAAGGGAGGAAGGAAGGAAAAAGGAAAAAAGGGAGGAAGAAGGGGTAAAGGGAAAAAAGGAGAAAGGGGAGGGAAAAGGGAGGAAGGAAAAAGGGAGAAAGGCAAAAAAGGGAGGAAGGAAGGAAAAAAGGAAGGATGGGAAAAGGAAAGAAGGAGAAAAAGGGAGGAAGGGAAAAGGAAACATGAAAAAGGGAGGAAGGAAGGGAATAGGAAAAAAAGGAAGGAAGGAAAAAGGAGAAAAGGGAGGGAGGAAGGGAAAAGGAAGGGAGGGAGGGAGGAAAAAGGGAGGAAGGAAGGAAAGGGGAAAAGGGGGGGAAAGGAAGAAAGGGGAAAAGGGAGGGAGGAAGGAAAAAAGGAAGGGAGGGAGGAGGGAAGGGGAAGCCATCTCCCTCAGCTCCTTCTTGGCTGCCTGGCTGCCCCCCCCCCCCCCCCTCTCTCTCTCTCTCTCTCTCTCTCTCTCTCTCTCTCTCTCTCTCTCTCTCTGCCTTGGCAGGCCCCCTCCTCCTGTGTGGAGGTTAAGCCCCGCCCTCCTTGGGGCACCGTCTCTGCGGGCGCCATCTTGAGGCCGGGCGGGAGTAGAGCGAGAGGGAGGCCTCCGCTTCCCAGAGAGGCAGGAAGAGAGGGGAGGGTGACGCGCTTCCCTCTGAGCTCACTTCCGGAAGGAAGGAAGGGGGGCCAGGCAGGGCGGGCGCCAACCTCTCTCTGCTGCGGCCTAGCTGCCTCTCTCTCTCTCTCTCCCTCTCTCGCGTGGATCCCGCCAGGAGTGGGGCTTTCTCCCTCTTCGGAGCCGGAGGTGAGCTCCCTTCATTCCTTCCCCAGCAGGCCGTGCCCTCCCTCCCTCCCTGGCCTGGGGCCTCCTCGGCTTCTCCTTTGGCCTAGGGAGGCAGGGAGGCCTCGAGCCCTGAGGAGGGGGGCAGGCCAGAAAGAAACAGTATTATTACTACTACTACTACTACTAGCCGTCCCCCTGCCAGGCGTGGCTGTGGCCCAGTCTGCTGATCTAAACAATAAAGCAATGAGAAACTGTTGCCTTCTGATCCCCCCCTGTCTTTCTGCTTCTGGGGAAAAGGTATTTCTTGCAGGGTTGTAGGTTTTCTCGGGCCATATGGCTATGTTCTAGAGGCATTCTCTCCTGACGTTTCGCCTCCATCTATGGCAAGCATCCTCAGGGGTAGTGAGGTCTGTTGGAAGTAGAGAAAGGGGTTTATATATCTGTGGAATAATGACCAGGGTGGGACAAAGGACTCTTGCCTGCTGGATCTAGGTGGGAATGTTTCAACTGAACACCTTGATTAGCATATAATGGCCTTACAGTGCCTTGAGCAAACGTTTGTTGAGAGGTGATTAGATGTTTCCTCAGAGAAGGATGTTTCCTCAGAGAAGCCATTGAAATCCACAAGCGTGATGAAGTATAGAACAGCATTTAAAGGAAATAGAGATGAAAGTCATATAGTGAGTGAGAGGCTTATTTATTTATTTACCTTACTTCTATACCGCTGTTCTCAGCCCGAAGGCGACTCAGCGGTTCACAACAAATACGAACAGCAAAAATTCAGTGCTACAGTATAGAAACAGTTAACAACCTAACACATTACACAATTAATAAACAGTTACTACAATACCCATTCACTGTCGTCTCGTCATCAAAAACATGTTCCAGATTCGTCATCCATTGTTCCATTCCAGTGTTCATTAACCAATCATTGCACTAATTATTGAACGCCTGCTCAAACAGCCAGGTCTTCACTTTTTTGCGGAATACCATTAGAGATGGTGCTAGTCTAATGTCCGTAGGAAGGGCGTTCCACAGCCGAGGAGCCACCACCGAGAAGGCCCTATCTCTCGTCCCCACCAGCCGAGCTTGAGAAGCAGGCGGGATCGAGAGCAGGGTCTCCCCGGAAGATCTAGCTTACTAGCTTACAGACTCACCTCTGCAGGAGTCTACCGTATACCATGCAGCTGTGGACAAGTCTCCATAGGGACCACCATACGCAGCATTGCCCAGACACGAATCAAGGGACATGAAAGGCACTGCAGACTCCTTCAACCAGAGAAGTCAGCCATAGCAGAGCACCTGATGAACCAGCCTGGACACAGCATATGATTTGAGAACACAGAAATGCTGGACTCTCACAACCATCATGTCAGGCTACACAGAGAAGCCATTGAAATCCACAAGCATGTGGACAATTTCAACAGAAAGGAAGAAACCATGAAAATGAACAAAATCTGGCTACCAGTATTAAAAACTCTAAAATTACAACAGCAAAACAGCAGAGAGGAAACAACCAGGCACATCTTAACACCTCTCAACAAAAGATTCCCCCAGGCTCAGCCAGGCCTTCAAATGCTAATGAAGGTGGTCAGTTGAAACATTCACACCTAGCTCCAGCAGACAAGAGTCCTTTGTCCCACCCTGGTCATTCCACAGATATATAAACCCTTTTCCTACTTCCAACAGACCTCACTACCTCTGAGGATGCTTGCCATAGATGCAGGCGAAACGTCAGGAGAAAATGCCTCTAGAACATGGCCATAGAGCCTGAAAAAACCCACAAGAACCTAGTGTTTCCTCTCCGTTGTTGTGCTGTTGTAATTGTACAGCCCTCCAATACTGGTGGCCAGACCCTGTCCACTTTCATGGCCTCCTCCTCCCCCTCCTCCCTGCCGAAACTGTCCACATGCTTGCTGTGTCTTTCTCAGAGTTGATGTGGAGAGTGTCTGGTTAGCCTCCTCTGGAACAGGCAACATCTCTTGGTCCTTTCAAATCTAGGATACTCTATCTCTCTGTGTGTGTGTGAATCATATCTATCTATCTCTATGGCTCGATAGCTCTTTGTCAGGAGGGCTTTGATGACGTTCTCTTGCCCTGGTGAAGAAGGGAATTGGACTGGGTGGCCTTAAGTATTTTCTGTTAGTCTTGGGGGTTCTGTGTGGGAAGTTTGCTCCAAACCCATCGTTGGTGGGGTTCAGAATGCTTTTTGATTGTAGGTGAACTATAAATCCCAGCAACTACAACTCCCAAATGATAAAATCAATTGTTAGTAGGTGTCTTGTGGCCAAATTTGGTGGCAATTCGTCCAGTGGTTTTTGATTTCTGTTAATCCCACAAACAAACATTACATTTTTATTTATATAGACTAGCCGTCCCCTGCCAGGCATCGCTGTGGCCCAGTCTGGGGATCTGGAAAATAAAGTAATGAGAAAGTGTTGGTTTCTAATATAGGTAATGTCTTTATGCTTGTGGGCAAATAGTATTTCTTGCTGTATCTTTGTCAGTGTTGATGTCAAAATTGTCTGGTGTGGCTACTCTGCAACATATCATTGTCCTTCTTTAGGGGTCCCTTTCAAATCTAGGATACTATATCTCTCTCTGTGTGTGAATCATATCTATATCTATGGCAGGATGGCTCTTTGTCAGGAGGGCTTTGATTATGTTTTCTTGCCCTGCTGAAGGGAGTTGGACTGGGTGGCCATAAATATTTTCTGTTGGTCATGGGGATTCTGTGTGGGAAGTTTGCCCAATTCTGTTGTTGGTAGGGTTCAGAATGCTCTTTGATTGTAGGTGAACTGATAAATCCCAGTAACTACATCCCAAATGTCAAGGTCTATTTCCCAAACTCCATCTGTGTTCATATTTGGGCGTATTGAGTGCATGTGCCAAGTTTGGTCCAGATCCATCATTGTTTGAGTCCAGTGCTCTCTGGATGTAGGTGAACTACAACTCCCAAACTCAAGGTCAATGCCCACCAAACCCTCCCAGTATTTTCTGTTGGTCATGGGAGTGTGTGCCACATTTGGTTCCATTCCGTCATTCACAATGCTCTTTGATTGTAGGTGAACTATAAATCCCAGGAACTACAACTCCCTAATGACAAAATCATTTTTTTTAGTGAAAGTAACTCCTTGGGTTAGTAGGTGTCTTGTGGCCAAAATTGGTGGCAATTCGTCCAGTGGTTTTTGAGTTCTCTTAATCCCACAAACAAACATTACATTTTTGCTTACATAGATTATTATCATTATTATTTCCAGACTTTTCATATTGGCGGTACACTTTTCAAAATGGATTATTCAGAACACAGTAATTCAGTTTTAGTAGGCAATCGGAGGTTGAACCAAGCCCGTCTAAGAATTAGAGCAGCGGGTTAAACCGCTGAGCTGCTGAACTTGCTGACTTAAAGGTTGGCAGTTTGAATCTGGAGAGCGGGGTGAGCTCCCGCTCTTAACCCCAATTTATACATTGGAATACATGCAAATGTGAGTAGATGAATATGTGCCACTTCTGCAGGAAGGTAGCAGCACTCCATGCAGCCACTTGACCTTGGGGACATCTACGGACAACGCCGGCTCTTCAGCTTAGAAATGGAGATGAGGACCAGCCCACAGACTTAATGTCAGAAGGAAACCTTTGGGAATCCTAGAGTTGGAAAAGACCTCATGGGCCATCCATTCTGCCAAGAAGCAGGAGAATCACATTCAAAGCACCCCCAAGAGATGCCCATCCAGCCTCTGTTTAAAAGCCTCCATAGAAGGAGCCTCCACCACACTCCCTCTGGGGCAGAGAGTTCCACTGCTGAACAGCTCGCTCTCACAGTTGGGGAGTTCTTCCTCATGTTCAGGTGGAATCTCCTTTCTTGTAGTCTGAAGCCATTGCTCCATGGCGTCTTAGTCTCCAGGGCAGCAGAAAGGAAGCCTGCTCCCTCCCCCCTTTATGTATGGAATGTATGGGAATGCGATGTGTCTCATGGACACCTGTGGATACGGAGGTCTGGCTACCCAGTGAGTCTTCCATGTTTTTATTCAGAATCCTGAGCTTGTCACCTGGATCTTCCACCTCCCCAAAACCCATCGGAATAACGTCTGTGAGTAGTGAGGAATATTTGGGGGCACGTTCTTTTCCCTCGTTGGGGTGCCCTTTCCTCAAAGGGAGCCATGTTCTGCGTGAGGAGGAGGAAGAGGGCCTTCTCTTCTGCAGTCTCCTCAATTATGGGATGCCCTCCCCTTCAACGCCCACCCAGTGCAGATCTTGAAGGACGTCTCCTCAAAACCTGGGGTTCCTTTCCTTCCTCTCTTGGTCCTCTGCTGTGAACACAGCCGGTCGGTAGCCTGTTGGGAATTGTGGGGATTGAAGTCCAAAACACAAGGAGAGCCCAAGAATACCGGTGATATTTAATTCTGTTGTAATGTTTCGTATATTTTTAGATTTGGAATTAGGTTCTTGTGGGGTTTTTCGGGCTATAGGGCCATGTTCTAGAGGCATTTCTCCTGACGTTTCGCCTGCATCTATGGCAAGCATCCTCAGAGGTAGTGAGGTCCTCACTACCTCTAGAACATGGCCCTATAGCCCGAAAAACCCCACAAGAACCTAGTGATTCCAGCCATGAAAGCCTTCGACAATAGATTTGGAATTGTCTTGAAATGTAAGCTGCTTTGGCCCTTTCCACACAGCTGTATAAAATCCACACTGAACTGGTTTATTTGGCAGTGTGGACTCCGAAATCAGTTCAAAGCAGATATTGTGGATTATCTGCCTTGATATTCTGGGTTGTATGACAGGCCCTATATCCCAGGATCTGATCCTAGGTTTCCTGTTTATCCCAGGTTATCTGGCAGTGCAGACTCACATAATCCACCTTAAATTGGAAAACCTGGGACCTGATCCTGGGATATAGGGCCTGTCTGGAAGGGCCCACAGTCTCCTTGTGGAGACCAAAAGCAGTGTCTAAATAAATATAATAACAATAAAGTCCTCCTCTTCTGATCTCTTGCTTTGGTCAGACCTTCCCACCTGGAATCACACGCTGTAACCATAGCTGAGGACAAAAATCTTTTCCTGGTTTGAAAGTTTGATTTCCTGATTAATTATGAGGCTCTTACTTTGAAAGTAGTTGCTCTTGGTTTGTGTGGCTGCCACAAACTATGATGAATCTATGGGAGTTCTGCAAGCCAAGTTTGGTTGAATTCCATGGTTGGGACAGTTCAGAATGCTCTTTGATTGGGGGAGCTACTGCCGCTCCCACATGCCTGAGGGTATTTCCCCCAAACCTCTCCAGTATTTCCTGTTGCTCATGGGAGTTCGGCCAGTAGGCTGATCATAAACATATCCATGGGTTCCCTGCTCTTATATTAAGACTGTTGTCCATGCTACGACATGCTTGAAGTCAAAATTTCATTGATTTGTTATTAGAAATAAATATTTCACAAGATATAATTACATAATTGTTTTTGTGATTAATCACTATGCTTTATGTTCCGGTTGTAACAATGGAAATACGTCCTGCATATCAGAGATTTACATTATGATTCATAGCAGTAGCAAAATAACAGGGGGATGGTAAAGTTTTGGCTGAGGGACCAAGCTTTTGGGACAGTGTAATAAAGCAACGATAAGAAACTTACCAGGCCGATTAGATTTGACACGGATGATTGAGACAGTTTTAAACGGTGTATTTTAATGTTGAGACAAATGTTTTTAATGTTTATGTATGCATATAATGTATTAATGTCCCAGCACTGAATGTTTGCCATTTGTATATTGTGCTCCGCCCTGAGTCCCCTTCAGGGTGTGAAGGGCGGAATAGAAGTGCTTTAAATCAATAATCAATTGTGTGCTGCTGTTGGAGGAAAGAGAGAGAAGGAGAGAAAGGAAGGAAGGAAGGAGGCCAGCACCATTGCCCTCGCCTTCTGGGGTCTTCCCTGGCGTGGTTGGAGGAGAGAGAGAGAGAGAGAGAGAGTCCTCCAAAGTAACTATTAGGATGATCTCCCATTGTCAAACAGAAGAGTTGTAATGGGAAAGCAGATCCCTCCCCTTCTTTTTTTTAACACGAATGTTAATGAAATCTACGGATAATAACAGCCCAACCAAAACCTTTTTTCTTGCTGTCGTGGTTTTTGGGGCTGTTTTTGGGGTTATTTGGGGTGCTGATTCAGAAAATTGCATTAGATCAACCACATCAGCTCTAGATTATTAGGTATGGCTTTCTGTGGGCGAGCAGGTGGCAACTACTGGAGGGCATATGTTCTATCTTCCATCGTGGAATATGTTGACTCCATCTCAGTTTCCTGGTCAGATGTTGATTCTTCATGATTGGTGTTAACCTTGTGTTGACTTCCTTCTTAACATTGTAAAAAAAATCTCTTATTATTGTCACAGTTCTTATCACAGTTTACTTTTTCAGTTCTCATTAGCAGGTTTTAATTATAATCCAGCAAGCAGGTAAAGGCTCAAAAAGCCACGCGGAGGAAGAATCCCTGCAGCCTCAGAAAAGTTAGCGCCTGGCCTTCCAAGGAGGAGAAGAGCCTGCTTCCCCTTTGAAATCCTATGTCTGTTCCCTGCAGGATTCAAGAGTTTGTAGTTGAGAGAGGCTCAGGACCTCCCTGGCTGAGAATTATAAAGGCCCCTCCCTGAATACCTTGCAGTGTAAGAAATCACACATAGAGAAACTTTGGGCACCGTCCCCTTTGTACCTGAGGAAGGCAAGTTTCAAAGTATTTGTCATCAGGCAATGGGCACCTTCCCTCTTCCCCTGGGTTTCCTACAGCACTGTGGCTGATTTCCTACAGGGGTGATTTGAATGCAATATTCCTGCTTCTTGGCAGGGGGTTGGACTGCATGGCCTATGAGGTCTCTTCCAACTCTTTGATTCTATGATTCTATGACTTCTTTTTCATGTTCCATGACATCTTTCCCCGTTCAACTCCTGAAGAGATTTTCCTCTCATTTGTTTGGCAGGTAACTTCTGAACAAGTTCTGCGAAGAACACCTTGTGAGAGCTTTGCCCGAGGAGTAAGTCCAAAGTGACCTCAAGATACACAGCAATGACAACAAGACAAAATAAGTTCTAGAAAAATACATTTCACACTACATACCTGTGGAATTAAGAGAGGGGGATAAGATTGTGCTGAAAAAAGCTATGGGAAAGCGAGCAGAAGGCTACAGCAATAAAAAAAACTGTGCTGTTCAGGAGATTGTATCTGTGAACATCTGGCATAATATTTGAATTCTAAATGTAAAAGAATGGCAAGCCCTCTACCTCCCTATCCTCGATCTGTCACAGGGCAGAAGTTACTTGAGTGTATGGAATGTGGAAAACAATGTAATAGGAAAAGTTCTCTTACTATACATAAACGGATCCACACAGGGGAGAAGCCATATCAATGCATGGAATGTGGAGAAAGCTTCAGTCAGAGTGGCACTCTACGCTCCCATCAAAGGATCCACACAGGGGAGAAGCCATATAAATGTATGGAATGTGGAAAGAGCTTCAGTGACAGTAGCGCTCTACGTTCCCATCAAAGGATCCACACAGGGGAGAAGCCATATAAATGTATGGAATGTGGAGAAAGCTTCA